TGAGTCCAGAGCCTTGGATGGTGGCAGCGGGAACCCCAGGCTAGCGGGTGTGCTCCAGGGAAGGGGTCGGCCGGACGGGAGGCACCCCAGGGAGGCACTGGAGCCTGGAAGGTGGGCGGCGCAGTGAGGTGGGCGGCTCAATGCAGGAGCGCCCCCTACTGGCCCGCCACAATGGTCACCTGTGAGGTGACGTTCAACTCCTCTCGCAGCAGTGTTACCAGACATGCCATGTATTCTGCACGTGAGTGGTTTTTTGCCAGCTCCTAGGACTGAAACTGCCAATAGCTTCTAATCTGCATGGACAAAACTCTGGTTGCATTTCACTGAAGGACAAAAATCCCGTTCATTCCCCTGGAGCAAGGATCCCAGCCCCACGTGTGCTTGTGTGTTGCTTGCTAAGCTGCAGGTCTGGAAGGTTGTTGTTCCTCGGGGGCCTTTCCCCATTACCAGAGACATTCGGGATGGAGGAAAGGCCCACCCCTTAAGAGCACCCTCTTTTATTGTGTGTGGCCCCCTTGCCTGGCATCAGAGCCCATCACTTCTTGGGGAAAACAGAAAGCAACAGAGGGGAAGGAAGAGTCCAGGAGTGGTGGCAGCCCCTGGAGTGAGCGACATGTGTGGGGGGCGATGGGCAGGCAGGCCGAGGGGGACGGTGGGCTCTGCAGGGCGGATGCTGATCATAGGCAAGCCTCCACCCCCCAGTGCCCATACCTAGGAAAATGCCCAGATACACATGGCCTCCTGCCTCCCCCTCTGATGGATGAGACTGGGTCCTGGGGGTGGAGAAGGGGCTTGGGAATCCTTGGAGCTGCAACCTGAAGTGTTCACGGGGCAAACAGGGCAGTCTCAGCTCCTGATGTTCCTCTGTGGTCCCCTTCCTCCCCAGCCCCTCGCAGCAGGTGCAGGCAGGAGGCCGTGCGCTACATGGTGGTGGCTCTCCTGGTGCTGCTGATGGTATCTCTGACCTCCCTCTGGATGTGCGTCTGCTCCAGTCCAGGTAATCTGCACATCCCAGCCCTCCCATGGCCTGGCGGACCTCTCAGCTCCACATCCATGAATCTCCCAGGCAGCCCTATACTGAGAGCAGCTCGCTGGGTCCTGTCTGCCCAACTCTGCACAATTGCAATCCTTCCCGACTCCCCCGACATCTCTGCAGCAGGGAGCCCCATCTCCAGCCTGGTCTGGGGCGGATCCAGGGAACCGCTGCTTTCCCAGGGCTGAACCCAACAGAGACCAGATCAAATCTCCTGTATGGACAGGGCCGTACCCAGGCTGGAAGGTGCAAGGGGGATCCCCGCTGCCACTCAGCTGGAGGAGGGGGCAGTGGTGCTAGGAGCTGCAGGACTCAGGCCTGCTGATTTCCTCAGCTCCAGGATGCTGCCTGGGGCATAAAGCAGCCCTGGGTGTGGAGCTGTGTGAGCTGCGCAATGGGGCTGCTCAGTGGGTGTCCATTCAGTGATGTGCAGTTGTACTGAAGGTGGATATACATCTTGGGTCACGTTGGCCCCTTCTCCGTGAGGGGCTGACAGGGTGCTAAGACCTCTGGTCAGTCCCCTTACCCACTGTGCACAGAATTTCCGCTTGTGCGGTTCCCGGCGTCGGTGCAGCCCTAATGGATGCCCAGTTCATGCAAAGTGGTTTCATAGAAATCCTCACACTCAATGGGAAAGTGCCACCTCCTGCCAAGCCCAGCCCTGCACAAACTTTCTATGGCTGGGATCTGATGCTGCCCCTGTGGTCACACAGGGTCGGGGAGTTTGTGTCCAACCACAACGTGTTCCTGGCACCGCTGGAGGACCCGGACTCAGCCCCCGTGGAAGGGAAACAGGGAAAGTCTCGAGCACAAAGGAATCGGGCCTGGAACCCCCCAGCTGGTCCCTGCCGAGCTGCTGCCTCTTGCTCCCTTCACCACTGCTCCGTGGTGTTCGCTGCTTCTTGCTGCCCGGGGATGATCTGCGCCAGACCAGCTCCACAGTGTGACTGCAAGGATGAACTCTGCCCCTGCTCTAGAGATCAAGAGCAGGAGATCCTGACCTCAAGCACCAGGAGGTGGGAGGTTTCCGACCACGAGACACAGGCAGCGTGGCCGGGATGACTGCAGTCTGCGGGGAGACATTGCAGCCCCAGACCCAAGGGAACTGGGGCGGTGGGGCCAGATGGTGGGTCCCTGCATGGGGCACGCACGCTCCCTGCTCGGCCTCACGGGCAGCCAGTGTGGGGCTGACTTCCTGGCCCAAGGTTGCCTGTCCCTGTTGCCTGATAAATGCCATGTCCCACCCCCTGTACTGTTTCCCTCTCCATAATTTTTGGTTCTTGCCATGAAAAGCAGTATCTCACATGTGTGATCTCCAATGTTGGTTGGCCAGCCTACCCTCTCACCTTGTTCCCCAGACGCTCAGACAGTCATCAGCTGCTTGGCTTCACATGTCCCTCCCTTATGCATATGCGCGGGCCCACAATTTTTATTTGAAGTTTGAACATGTGAACACTTCAGTCACACAGAAGCATTTCTGCCGCCGTGGCTCACAACTGCATATTCTGTCTGCAACACACAAGAGGAGAAATCTCGCATCAGTTGTGGGTAGCACAACCTGGAGACCCCAGCTGAGGTCTGCACCCCACAGTGCTCGGTGCTATATGAGCACCGGATAAGGGATTGCACTGATACCTTAGGGATGTCCAGACACAGGGAGTGGGAGGAGAAACTGAGGCACAGAGAGGGGCTAGGACTTGGCCGTGATCCCCCAGCTGCTCAGACCCTCAGACCCAGAGCCAGAAAGAGGGCTCAGGTGTCCTGCCCTGATTGCCAAGGTTGATGTGTCCCATTAGATCACACAACCCCATCCATTCGCCTGCTTCCTGGGACTTTTCTCAGACTCAGAAATACCCTGGCCTGGATTTCCTTTTGCAATACAGGAAACCCTTTTTATTCTCAGGTTCGACATTTGCGATATCAAATATTCGCAAATGCAGAACCCGCATCTTAAATACGCTTACAGGAGCTCCTTGGGAGCTCTGCACTTGCTGCCGCTGGGCTTCTGCTGCCGCCAGCACAGCCGTGCCCCCACAGGCTCCAGGGGCACTGCGTTCATGAATTCAGTGCCGTATTCACGGATTTCACCATTTATAGGGATCTCCAGAATGTATCCCCCGTGAATGGTGAGGGTCACCTGTACCACATGCACAGCGCCGTGTCCCTCCACAGACATGCAGCCACTTCTGGGGTGGACACAGCTGTTCTGTGCCATGAACCCAGCACAGCGCTGACAGCAGCGGGGAAGAGGGGAATCGCTGATTACTGCAGTGACTGCACTGAGTTGCTGGAGAGCTGACCTGGAGGTACCGGGCCAGGATGAGCCCAGACCCCAGTTCTGAGCATCGTTGTGACACAGCTGGAGAAGCACTTACCTCTGGGCTCTGCCTTGGGTACACGTCACTCCCCGGCACTGCCACTGTCCCTGCTGGAGGAAGCAGAGCAGGGGCTATTAGTGCGGCTGGGATGGGGTCGGAGGTTTGACGCTAGTGCTTGCTGCGGCCGTTACCTGTGCAGGGGCACTTGGTGGAGAGCAGGATGAGGACCTGGATCAGCAGGAGGAGGCAGACGCAGGGCAGCCCCACCCAGCGCACAACCCAGCAGGGCCCTGTGGGGAGAGGAGAGGCTGACAGCAGGGCACAAAGCATGCAGCTGGGAGCAGGCGAGGAGCTGTTCCCAGAGGCCATGGTGAGGGGCAGGGGCGATGCCCAGGGAACGGCTTCACCTACCCTTCAATGTGGTGCCCATTGCCTTGGCTGTGATGGTGCTGACGTTTATCCCAGTTCCCTGCTCTCTGGTCCAGCATGTGTAGTGTGTCCCTGCGTCCCACCTCTCCTTGGGGACTGTTGTCAGGCTCCAAGCACCTTCCCCATCCAGGGCTCCTGCATCTGACGGCAGTGTCGACCCCTCCCCAACATCCCAGAGAGGTGCCCCCCAGGCCTGAGCATGCGGGGAGAGCAGGCAGAGCAGGGGGATGGTGTCTGGGAGTTCGGTCTCCTCTGTGGGCGAAGGCACCAGGATGGCAAGGCTGGGCTGGGGGGCATCTGCATGAGAGTGGGAGCATCAGGACCAGAGGGCAGCTAGTGCCCACCCAGCCCCGGCAGGAGAGCTGAGATGCCCGGGGCTTGGTCTACCCCCGTTTCAACACCAAACTGCGGATGGGACATGGCCCCAAGTATTTTTGTCTCAGTGGCAGCAGCCCCTGCCTAGGGCATAGGTCACAGAAGGAGACCTGGTCTGGTGGGAACAACGTAAGCCAGGGAGACAGAAATGCCCCCTGGCCACTGCCTTGCTGAGTGCCCCTGGAGAGCTGTTGGCTGCTCTGCTCTGTGCCTCGGTTTCCCCAATGGCAATAAGAGCTGGGAAGGAGCAGCGCAGCACAGGAGCCACCAGCGGACATCTCCCAGGTGGATTCATTCCCATCTGCTGGGGGGTGGCCCCGGGGCCCAGCCCACACGGTTCCTGCCTCTCTCCCTCCCTTTCCTCTGGGTCCGTGCATTGGGCATGGGGGGAATCCACAGCAGGGACACGGGGGTGCTTGCTCCCCGCCACACCGCAGGCAGGGGGAGACACTGCCTGGTGCAGCCTGAACCATGACATGAGCCTTTACACCAGGCCTTTGAGCCCCAGAGGCTGGAGCGGGAGTCTGCAGGGCAGGAGCTCGGGGGGAGATTTCTCCCTGGTGCCCAGAACCAGCTCCCTGAACTGGGGTCTCGGCTGCTGGGGCTGCACAGTTTGGAAATCCCGGCCATGTCTTTGGGCTCCCGCGTGGGAGCTGCTGGGAGCTGAGATGGTTGAAATCCTGGGTCCGTTGAGTGAGACCCAGAGCCCAGTCCTGGGTCCGTTGAGTGAGCCCCAGAGCCCAGGTCTCCTGCTCCCACCCCCTGCCCTGGGCACTGCCTGGCCCCCGCTGGCCCTGAGCTCACTCCCAGCTTGGAGCTGATGCTGGGGGGGCAGAGTTGTGCAAAAGGGGAATTTTTTTGCCTCCTGTCTCTGGACTGACGATTTGTGACCTGTTGGAAACTCACCGGAGACGATCAGCCTGGTCCTGTTCCTGAAGTTGCTGTCTACATATAAATCAAAGGCACAGTAATACACTCCAGAATCCTCCTCCCGTACATCGCTGATGACTAGAGAGATCGTTTTCCCTGAGCTGCTCACTTTACTCGAGTATTTTCGTTCCTCAGGTAAAGATTTAGCATTCTGGGAAACCGACTGCAGACTGCCGTCCCGACGGACTGCAGACTGCCGTCCCGACGCGCTTTGTACCAGGTTACAAGTTCGTCTGCATCCGAAACAGTGCAGTTCAGCTCCACGGTCTGTCCTGGGGTCGTCCAGATCTCTGCTGGGCTTTGCTGCAGCCTCAGCCGCTTTTGGGAAGCCGCCACTGCAGAGGAAAGCACGGTGTGTGCATGGGGGGGACCAGTGCAGTCAGCTCCCCCACTGCAACATCCCCGTTTATTCACAGCTTTCACTAAAGTGACACAATTTTATGAACCCGAAAATGACCTGTGATAGTTATGGATTGACAGGATTTGGGGTTAGTGGGGAAAGCACACATGAAAATGACCCACACGACCGATGTGAAGAGAAGTAAGATGGAACATAATATTGGAAGATACATTAATAACAGTTAAAATGCAGCAATATAAAGTAGATAGGAAAGAAGGGGGAATTTTACTTTATTGAGACCCTTATTCTCTGTGCATGGTGCCACAATGTTCCCCGGCTGGGAGTTGCCAGAGAGGAGCCAAATTGTTTTTTTCTTCTTTAGCCCAAGGCTTCGCATTTTCCCCCAATGCAGAGATCTGCCTCTCTCTTACCTGCCAGGAGCAAACACAACCACGAATTTCTCTGGTTTGCATCACACAGCCCCTTGCCTGCCCCAGAAGCAGCCCTTGCACAAGCCCCCAAACCCTTTTTTGCTCCTTTCAGTCCTCTCTTCCCATATGATTCCTGTGTCCCAGGGAGAAATGACAACTGAAACTACAACAGGCTGGCCTGAAAATTGTCCCTGTTCCAGTGTCCAGTGCAATATCATCACCCCCAGCTTGGACTGAACACAGATGAGGATCACTTGCTGCACTGCTGTGCTGTTTCCCAAGGGGTTTTTAACACACACATCATTGTATTACATCCCTCAGAGACTGAAACCTGTAACTCTCCCATCTCTGTCTCTCCTGTGCAGCCCAGCCGGGTGTTTCCATCCTGCCAGGACATCCCTGTGCACACGGGAATTGTTCTTATGTGGGGAGAAAAGACCGAGGAGCTGAAAGACTTACCCTGCAGGGCGAGGAGCAGGATCCCAGCCCAGGGGCAGGACATGATGTGGTCTCTTCAGCGCTGGGAGGATGCTGTGAGGCTGCTTGATGGGTCTCTTCTTTCTGAAAGCCTGGGTCACGTGGGAAGAAGACCTGTTTCCTGTCTCAAATTGGAGGGGGCATGTCTACAAGAGGAGGGTGCTGGGGGGTGGGACACTGACCTCCGACACACTGAGAGATGTGATCCTTACCACCCCCCAGTCAAAAATATCTGACCAGACTGGAGTTTATTGCAAGAAGTCTTTCAACTCTCCCCAAAGCAAACCAGCTGCCAACTGAATCCCAACCCAGTGTCTCTGACCTCGCTGAGATGCTTCCAGCACAAGGCAGACAAAGCCAGGACCTCTCCACCCTGCTGTCAGTGATGCTTATACAGCCCTATGGATATACCTGGTGAGGATATAACCCCCACACACTTCTCTGAAGCCCCCACTGAGGAGCCAAGTCCCCCTAAGTGTCCGTATACCATGTGTCTGGGCATGTGAGCAGGGCTGTATGGGACCAGGCTGCCGACCTTGGCTGTCCTTGCTCTTCCTTCCCCTCTGCCTTGTCCATCTCATGCTGTTTACTGCTGCTCCATGTCCATCCCTAACATAAAAACTAACGAGTGTGAGACTCTACCATGGAGCCAGACATCCTTTTTCAACTTTCAGTCTAAGTTGGTCCTTACTTTACTGCAGGTACATTGAATGCACAAGCGAGGATGCGATGGCCAATCTTCCACGGAGCAGGTGATTTGGATCGACCAGACTGGGTTTCAGTGAATTGAATTGCACAGGTTGCAGGTGTGTTCAGCATTTCGACATGCAAGGACTTGCTGTGAAACTTCCCTCGGGCTGTGCCTGGCACACAAAGGGCTGTGGTGGTTTCCCTGCCTCTGAGCTCCTGCTGGAGACACACTCATGTCCATGGGGCACCTCCTTGGACAGAGGAGGAACAGCTCCTTCCCTTCCAGTGGGAACCGTCCCCGGGGGGCTGTGCACACACTGCTGAGCTGATGCAGGGGGCTTTCTTTCAAGGCCACGTCCACGGAGCAGTGACAGGCCGAGTGGCCTTCGCATGGTCTCTGGCACTTCACCCTGCTCAGGATAAACCTTTATTTGCAGCAGGGATCTGGGGAGACATTTAGCAGTGTCCCCAGGTGACTGAGAAGCCCTGATCCCCTTTCCAGGTAATTGGGATGTGGTTTATAAATGCACCAGTCACTTCTGCCCATGAGACACAGGCTCAGGAATCATTTGGGAGATTTTTCATTTGCTTTTTCTGTGTTGCTTTCCTCTGTTCACCTGATTCCATGGCTACCTTGTTGGTGTGATGATGGGTTCAGGGTCAGGCTTTGTCTTGGGGGCTGCTTGGGGTGTTTTAGGGAAGAGATGGAGGTGCATGTGGTGAGTGTCCCCATCCCATGAGCTATGTGATTAACTGCTTCACATTGCTTTGTTTGTGATGAGTGGCTTGAGCAGTGCAGTCCCAGGCTCTTGCACATCGCAGTGTGCAGCCGCCTGCATCTCCTCCTGCGGCGAGTGGAAAGAGCAAAGAGGGACATGCTTGGAGGTAGCTTCTGGGGGGGGCCGGGATGAGACCCTCTAGGTGGACCCATCTAGGTGGGATGGATGGTGAAAGGGGTCTTTAAGTCTGTATTTATTCATGAACCTTAACTTAGCAAAGAACAGAAGGAACATTTAAAGACAGGTCCAATCCCCTAAAATACACATCAAGACAGATACTTATCTTCTATTAGCAGGGCTCCCTGAACCCACAGCAGCGCCCCCAAGAGTCTTCAGTTCTTTTCTTCTCTTCTTTTCAGTCTCTGATGAGTCCTTGTTTCCTTTGTGCTTAACCTTTTGTGTTTCTTCATCTCACTATAATATTTCATAATCTAGCCCAGCTTCTTCCCTAGAGCTCTGCATAATACAAATCTCACTGTCTTGTGCTTTTAAATCTTAAATTTATTCCAAATCTGTTCTTAAGCTTTAGTTCTCGGACCTTGCACTTTCCTTCAGTGTTCAAAAACTTGTCTGCAACCTTCTGGTTTGGAGGCAAGAGAAGATTTTTCTTTGAGCAAATTCCAAACATTACCACCACATTTCCAATTGAGACAATTTTTTTTCTGCTCCACTGTAGAACATGGACTTGATAGCACAACTTTCCCATTGCTAAACCTTCCCAAACTTTAAAAAACCAGCTATTGATGATTTTAGGGGTGTGACTTCTTTTGCAGGCGGTGGCTGGTAGAAACCACTGTAGTTGCACAGAAGCCTGCTTGAGCCACAAACACTCACCCATATTGTGATCTGGCCTCAGAGCCAGAAAGCAGCAGTGGTGACTTTATTTATGTGTGCATTTTAATGGCTATATTAAGCTTGAAAGAAAAAACAACCACCGCATTCTCCCTCCCACCCCGGTTTTAATGCCCCCCCCAGCTAGCTTTCACGCCTGTGCCCAACCTGCTTTTGTGGTCAGCCTCAGTGTGCACTTGCACTGCTGTAGGTCTATATGACTGGTGCGTGACACACTTAGCACTCTGCTCTGTTTTTCCTGTGATGGTGTTTTCTTGAGCTCACTTATCTAGACGGGGTCAGCTGGCGCCCATTAGCCTTCTCACACACTGAACCACAACCTACAGTAGCAAGGCAAGTCTTCGCGGAGGCCGAATTGGTAATATCCAGCCCTTAACCAATGCTGGCTTAGCAATTCACTGGGCTCAAAGGGAAAAGGGCCAGCAAAGAAGAGAGGATCCTAGGAAAGGATGGCCAGAAGAGACCTCACAGGGTCACAGCTAGTCCAGCCCCTGCTCCAGGCAGGATCAGCCCTGACTGAACCATCCAAGCTAAGGGTCCATCCAACCTGGTCTTGAGCACTTCCAGGGATGGAGACCCCACAGGGTCTCTAGGTGCCTGCTCAGTGCTCGACAACCCTAAAAATCAGAAAGTTCCTCCTCATCTCCAACCTCCGTGTTCCTCACATGGCTTTGTTTGTGGAGATGGCTTTAGTCTCAGCCTCTCCCCCGGCCGGGGCCTGACGCGCAGCCGTCAGCATGGACTTAAAGACAAGAACTGAGATCTTTATCCCTCTCTAAGGCCAATCTCTATCTAAACAGAGGCGGCGGCCGGAAAAACAACGACCAAATATATGGCACTAAATATAAAGTGAGCTCACACATCTGCGCTGACATGGAAAACCTCAGGGCTGCTTGCCTGGGTCTTTGTACCACAGCCTCCGTGGTCAGGCTCAGCTCTCTGCATTTGCTGCCCATGTCTGATTGCAGACAGCAGCACCGCTCTCCCCACCCCAGCCATTCGAGATGCTCACCCAAGAATCAGCCCCTGATACAACCCTGCCCTGGCCCACAGGGCTGTGACATACGCCCATGTGAGATCTAGCTGCCCACGTTCCCATTCACAGTTGTTCCAGTGTCTGGTGCAGCTAGACTTGTTCTGGCCACATCCAGTGGGAGCATCTGTGCATGTGACAGTGTTGAGGGGCCTTGTCTTGCCTCCCATCACACAGAGGTGGCTGCAGGATGGGGCAGGGACTGAAAGGTGGGTGCTGACCACAAAGAGCCTCATCCTTGGCTCTTGCCATAGGAAAGGGGCCCAGAGATGCCCCCAGACTCTTTTGTCTCCTACTTCTTGCTCTCTGCTGGGTTGCAAATAGACGTTGCCCTTCTGCCTGCACGAATATATTTGTGGCTGAACATGCCCAAGCAAAGAGCCGATCCTGCCCAAGCTTGTGGCCACAATGATTTGTTGTAATGCTTTGGGCACCTGTTCGAGGCAGCTGTCTAGTTGCTAATGACATGAGAGCGTGAAGCCCCTGGCTGCCCGCACTCTCCAGCCATCCCACACAGAGGCCCCTGGGGTTTCAAAGGCCCGATCCTGCAGAGGTTTCCCAGCTGCGGTGTCTATGAGCGGGGAACATTGCAGCTGTCCCAAGTGCGGCTGCAGCAATGACCTCTGCTCCTCCTCCTGCCTGTGAGCAGCTGGAAATGCAAAGCCCAGAGCCGTCTTAACTAACGTCAGCTGTAATAGAGGGGGGGAAAAGGGAAAAAACCCTTCCCTCCAATCACAAAACACAGCCTGGTCTCAGAACATTTTTGTAGGCGTTTATGACTGTTGTTCCTGGTTTTCCCCTGGGATGTTTTGGGGAACAGTTGTTCACCTAGCCCCTGATGCTCACCCGATAACTGTGTAAACTGCCTCCAAATCCCCACTAAGTCTTCTCTATGCTAGGCTGAACAGTTCCATATCTGCCAGCCTTTCCTCGCATGGCTTGCTCTTCAGGCCTTTAATCATATGAGTGGCTCTTTCTCTGGCCTCTCTCCAGCTTCTGTAGCCTGGGTACACCCAGGGATGTGCCCTGTCCGCCAGTGGAAGGGGTGGTGGTCAGGCAGGGTGCTGAGAGGGGCCTGCCACCTGGGAGCAGTTCCCTCTCCTCTCTACAGAGCCAGGCTGAGACCAAGCACTTAACTATATACAAAATTGATTGCTACAATAAATAAACATATATGTAAGGAACATTAAATATTTACAATAAAATTAACATGTGGCACCACATATTAATGAACCTGCAATCAAGATATTATACTACTTTGAGGGACTACAGAAACATAAACCGGGTGATTCACAGCATCTACGATAATTAACCCTCCTGCACAAAATAAGCATTAACCCTTTAACAGGTAAGCCAAGGCATCGACACAATAAACACATATGAGCATCAACCTAGACAACTCAGGTAAGTTGAGGTAGCAATACCATAGATGTACACAAGCAACAATACAGGTACGTTCCAATAATAGGCAATAAAGACAGATCAACCCATATCAGTTCCCTTAGGGAGTACCCATAACTATATTAACCTCTACAATATGAAACAACAACAATCACAAAGTAAGGGGGTGTTTCCTGAGCCCCTCCCCTTTAGGGCCCTGGGATGTGGACATGGCCCCCCGCACTGGAGGAGGGTGGAGGCTGCAGACCTTCCTCTCCCAAGCCCACCTCCCTTGTGGGACCCGCTTTCCCAGCAACTCCCGCTCTGAAGCAGCCAAGGCTCGTCCCCTGGTGACCAATCCCACGAGGGCCTCTCTCCGGTGGTGCCTTTGGCTCCTCTCGATGGCCTGGTGCCCTGCTCTGGGCACCCAGGGAGCTTCCACCAGGGCTGAGCCCTTACTAGCTCCGGTTCCCTGGCCTCACACCGGGGGTCCTTCTCCTTCCCGGGCCCTGCTCTGGGCACTGGGGCTCTTTTAGTTTAATGTGGAGCCACACCACGGGGCTCCGGTTACTCAGCCTAGAGCCGGGGCTAACATGAGCAGGCTCGAGCTGCTCCCAGGGCCGACTCTCCGTGTGCCAGTCTGCACTGGTGGGGCCTGAGCAGCCTCAAGCTGCTTCCAAAGCCAGCTCTCCGTGCATTGATCCACGCACCGTCCTTGGGACCCTGCCTGAGCTCAGGCAGGGTCCCAAGGATGGTCATCTCCAGAGCTACTCTCTCCTCGCCGTCCCTCACCACGTCTCTCCCCATGCTCCCCTTTTATATGCTTCAGGGGCTCCGGCCCCCAAATTCTCTGGACCTGGCAGAGTGCAATCTCAAACCAGGGCTAAACTGCTCCTCGCCCCCTCCCTTTGGGGAAAGGGCATGGCCTTGTTTTCCCTGGCTTGCTTCTGATTAGCAGATGGGCTCCACCAATTGCAATTGCAGAATTTCAAGCTTAGGACTCATCCAGAGCTCAAAAGGTAAGTCTACTACACTTCTCCACATCCTTCCTGAAGTGCGGTGCCCAGAACTGGATGCAGTACTCCAGCTGTGGCCTCACTAATGCTGAGTAGAGTGGGAGAATAACTTCCTTAGTTTTGGTTGAGATGGGTCGGTTGATGCATCTGTGGTATAAAAAAAAAGCAAAGGCCTTAAACTTTGATCGAAAAAAGACTGTAAAGATCAAACAAAAGGCGTTGTGTAAAAGTGTGGGCTAGGAAAAGAGGAAGAATGTCTGGCCTTGTGGTAATCAGCGGTTACTGAGACAGCAAGAAAAGAATGTTTTGTAATAAAGAAATGAAAATAATATTTTTGTAACTGTTACCGCAGCTAGGTTTCTAAAAAATGTCACTATATGTTCACGTGAATTGTAGGTGGCTGTTAAAAGGTATATAAGCCTTTTGCTTTAACGTTTAGGGAGGGAGCCCCCTCCAAGCGCATGGTGAATCCATGTCACGTGGGGCCCCTCCTACCGCTGTAGCTCCATCCAAATAAAGCTTCTGCTGACCTGACCCAACAGTTTGCTGCATGTGTTTTCCACGACACATGCCAGTGTATTGTTTGCTCTGCTAACTGTAGCATCACACTGGTGGCTCATATTCATTTGATGATCAATTATGACTCCCAGGTCCCTTTTGGATGTGGTGCTAGCTAGCATAGCACCACCGAGCCTGTCAGTTTGCTGCGTATTTTTTCTTCCCAGATGGAGCACTTTACACTTCTCACTGTTGAACGGCATCTGGTTCTGATCCACCCATTTAACTAATCTGTCTAGGTCTGCCTGGATCGTCAGCATACCCTGATGCGTGCCACACTTCCCCAAAGCTTAGTGTCACTGGCAAACTTTGCCAGTGCGCTTTGCACCCCCCCATCCAGATCACTGATGTAGATGTTGAAAAGCACTGGTCCAAGTACTGAACCCTGGGGGACCTGTGGTGGAGCAGTAGGGGACGCTCCTGTGCTGAGCCACCCATCTCACTGCACCTAACCACATACCGAGCTCTGAGCGCCTCCCCAGGGCTGCTTCTTGTCTGGCCGATCCCCTTCCTGGAGCACACCCGCAAGCCTGGGAGTACCGCTGCCGCCACCCAGGGGTTTGGACTGTTTCCGGGCCCTGTGCCCCCTGGGGTACACAGCCCTAGTAGTCTTTGAGGGTGCTAGACCCACTGCAAGAACCTGGGTGCTTCCTTTAGTCTGAAGCACAAATAGTAGTCTTCCTTGGTCATTTGAGCCAAAGGAATAGAAAAGGCACACCCAAACCCTCTCCCAGTGAATCCACCACACTTGGTACAGTGGAGAACTTTATTGTTTGCAGAGGGTAAGCTTGGGAAAGGGTACAGGATAGAGCAGTATTAAAGAATAACCTTAGAGCAAACAGTGTGGCTAGGTAGCCCTTGATCATGCATTTTCTTTACAACAAGCTATATATCTAGATAGGTTTCAGGTAGCTTACTCACAAGTATCATCCAGAGGCTGGTTGAGCTTTCTTCTTGAATTCCCAAAAAGATTCCCATCTCTCTGCCTGGCCAGTTGCTCACATGTTCCCCAAAATGGCTCTCTCCCTCCTCCTGGGCAGTCTTAGTTTATATAGGCCTTTTGACATCACCTTCCCAGGTCCTATCAGGGCAGGTGTTGTTTGAGGCCAACCAACTGATTAAAAAAGCATCACTGATGAACTCAGATGTACATCTCTTGAGCCATGTGGTCACTGCTTAGGTCAATAGAGGGCTCTCTCCTCTCATCAGTCGTATAGACAGAGCTGGTTGCTTAGCAGCCAGAGTGATAGACACCTGAGATGCAGGGAGGGGGACACAGATTAGCCCCAAGGGGGGGAGGAGGAGGAGGAGGAGGAGGAGGCTGCAGCAGCGTTCATCACAGACCCCACCAGCTACCTTCTGCCAGGTTGACACAGATCCGTCTATTAGTACTCTCTGGGTCTGACCCCGCAGCCAGTTTCCCACCCATCTGACTATTGAATTGTTGAGCCCATAGTCTCCTAGTTTACCTTGACAGCCTCATGGGACACCAAGTCAAAGACCTCCCTAAAGTCCGAGTAAAGGATGTCAGCCTCATCTCCCTTACCCAGGTGCTGAGTAACCTGGTTGTAGAAGATGAGGTCACTCAGACATGGCGTACGCACGACAAAACCATGCTGGCTGTCATTCAGCCTGAACTGGTCTGAGCTGGGCGCGTCTTGGCTATAAATACAGGGGTGCGAGACCCACCCTTTCGCAGTTACTTAGGGGATCAGTTGCACGTAACACATCACTTCCGGGCAGTTTAGTTGCGCTGGGCTTGTTCCTGTACACACCTGCTCGCTACTGTCCGAAGATACACTAAACCTCTCTGGGCTTTTGCCACTGAACACGAACCTGAGTCATTCTTTAAGCATTGCACCTAGACTCTGGGAGGCTGCCAGCACCTCACGATGTGCTAACTAATGGACGTATTTAGGTGCAAGGTTCCTGTGTCGCTTCCCAGGTTTGGCTGTACTATACTACGTGCCTCTCTTCCCTGCTGTGGGTGGTTGCACTGATCCTAACACCCAGGATATTCTGGATGGGATCCCACATGCTCAGATGTGCTGTGGTGCTTTGCACAGAAATTTAGACTGTTTGACTCTTGCTGCTCTTGGCCTGTGTTGGAGGGTAATGGCAGTGCACCAGCTCTGGGACACGGGTGATCGAACAGCATGCAGAGCCTGAGAGGCTCAGTCCAGCAGTGCTACCTCTAGGACTGAACGGGAATAAATGGGGATGATCCTGCCTTGAGCGGAGGGCTGGACTAGATAACTTTGTGAGGTCCCCTCCAGCATGGCTTTCCTATGACTTTAGGATCCTGCGTAACAGAGTCCAAGGCAGGAAGCAAAGTGCTGATCTCTCGTGGTAGCCTGTGCACAGCACAGAGCCCTATGCCAGGCAGACGTCTTCGCTTCAATCCACCTTGCTCACGTTGCAGGAGCGGGGGGGCTTTGTTCACTGGCACCCCTGAGCTCAGCCCTGCTGCTGTATTGAGGAACAGGGGAGTCACACACCAGAAGTGCCTGTTTCAGAGTGACTCGGGCATGTGGGGTCTCAGTGCCACTGACATCAGTAAGAGTACAAGGGGCCTGGTTTTTTGAGGCCCTTTGGTTTTTCTGAAGACGGCGATAGGGCTTTCCATTCTCCCCCATGAGGGGTGTGTGACATTCAGGTGCCTTCAAGAGCCAAAGCAATTTTAAAGTCTGGCTCTAGCTGGCATCTGCAACCAGACATAAGCCCCAAGCCACAGAGGTGCTTCTTAGGGTGCTGCTTTTGTCTGGTTTCTCCAACAGGTCAGAACTTTTGCTTTTACAACAGAAGATGCCACCGATGCATCTCTCCAAAGAGGCCACAAACACTCATCTCAGTGCAGGGGTTGTACCTATAAGAAACTGGGGGCTTGAATGGCTGCAACACAGAGCAGCAGGATCAGCCTCACAAGCACCTAAGTGACTGAGGAGCCTGGGTGCCCTGTACAGTCAATGGTGCTTGAGCTGCTAAGACACTTGGGCTCTTCTGAGCAGGCCAACACAAGATGTTCTGTGGCACTTTAGATGCTGCTGTGATGAGCGTTAATGCTTATAGCAACTTGATTCACCAGTCAGATGCAGGGAAATGCAATACAGATCTGTGCACAGCAAGGCAAGGGGGTTGAAGAACCCCGCTCCCCAGCAGCGTCATCCCCATGAAGTGCTCCTCCCCGGAAACAACCAGCCCTTGCACTGTAGCTCTGCACTTAGACAGCAGCCCTGTGGCTGAAGGGGCAGGATATTCGTAGCCATCATGTTCCTTGCCATGTCTCTGTTTGTCTCATCCTTAGGTAAAACTTCCACATGGCTCTCAGCACCCTGTTCCTGGGATCAGGGACATGAACATCCTCAGCGGGACACAGATCCCGGTGCAGGGATCTGGACTGGATTGCAAATGTCTTTTTGTGGTCTTGGAGGTAGCTGAAGAGGGGATGGTTAGGATGCTGCTGTATGGTCACCTGGAAAGCAGAAGTATTAAAAGCAAATGCCTTCTGCTCCCAAGATGTGAGGGGCACCTGTGTCAAACCCGAGACCTGCTGGAAGCGGACGATTGCCCTGTTGTGTTTCCACAGTGTTGGGAGTCCAGTCATTTCTGCACCAGCCTCAGCGGTTCCTGTTTGTGGAAGTCGGTGGGGCAGCAGAGATCCCCTGTTCCTCCAGGGAAGATTTGCAAAGGGGAGAATATGTGCAGTGGTATTTAAGAAGGGCTGGTGAGGCTCCCATGTGCATGAAGGTGTGTGCAGTTGATACAAATGGAAGCAAATTTGCTTGCAAGCATCAGATGTACAGCACAACCCTAGAAATCAGAGACATACAAAGGCAAGAGTGTGGTGTATATTACTGTGCATATAACCTCGGCAGCTCCTTGATTTTTGGAAATGGAACCACGGTGATCGTTGGAGGTAACGACCCGTTGCTTCTTTCATAAGAGTATCCAAGTGTCTCATTGCTCACATTTCTTTAGAAACCAACACCAAACTGTAAGAACGTAGAGGAGTAAATTGTTTAAAAGAAGCTGTGTTTTTAGTCGAGTATAATGGGTTCAGCTCTAGCTGCTGGGGGCAGAGAGAGAAGGGGCTATGCAGAGTTCTTTTCCCAGGAGAAACCCAGTATGTGCTGCGGGGAAGTGCTGGGTCTCCGTGGGGCTGGTCTGTGCAGCCAGGCTGGGAATGTTTCTCCCTCCGAGCCGCGACGGCGGGTGAGAAGTTTGTGATCTCGGGAAGCTGCTTGTGCTGCCCTGAGAAGGCTGCCTGGCTCTCTCCTGGCTAGACGGCTGTGTGCTGGGCTGGTTCCTCTCTTCCAGCTCGGCAGCAGATGGCATTTTTCCTTATTCCCCAGTAGTCTTCTATCTTGGTTAATCTCTCCTTAACAGACCCACAGCTGTGGCTGGGCTGCAGCTCAGCTCTGTCTGCCCCTGAACTCTTACCTTCCTTTCTGCCCAGACAGCTTCACTGATAGCAGCTCCGCTCTGCTCCTGGGCCCTGTTGCAGGGGAGAACAGAGCCAGGGAGCCTCCACATCTGGCCTGTGTGATCCGGGGCGTCTTCAACCTTGTCCAGGTGTCCTGGCGCATTCCCACAGAGGAGCCAGCCCAGGGGCTGTGGCGCACACTGGAAGCCAGTGATGGGTCCTTAACACTCATCCATCACATCAGCATCCCCTGGGCCAACTGGGCTAGTGGGGTGACCGTCACCTGCCAGGTCGCATTCAACTCATCTGGCAGCAGTGTTACCAAACATGCCATGTATTCTGCATGTGAGTGGTTTGGTACCAGATCCTAGGACTGAAACTTCCAATACCTTCTAAAGCGCGTGGGCGAAGCTCTGGCTGCATTTCTGTGAAGGGCAAAAATCCCAGTCATTTCCCTGGAACGAGGATCCCAGCCCCTTATGCAATGACAAGTTTGTGTGTTGCTTGCCAAGCTGCAGAGCTGGAAGGTTGTTGTTCCTCTGGGGCATTTCCCTAATAGCAGAGACATTCAGGAAGGAGGAAAGTCACTGTGTTCCCAGCAACCCCCTTGTACTGTGTATCCCCTTGCCTGGCATCAGACAGCATTGCTTCTTGGGCAAAACAGAGAGCAGCAGGGTGCAAGGAAGAGTCCAGAAGTGGTGGCAGCCCCTGGAGTCGGCAGCGTGTGTGTGTGGGTGAGGGGCAGGCAGACCGAGGGGGACGGTGGGCTCTGCAGGGCTGATGCTGATCATAGGCAAACCTCCACCCCCCAGTGCCCATCCCCAGGAAAAGGCCCAGACACACACACGCTGTAGCCACCTCCTCTGACGGATGAGACTGGGTCCTGGGGGCAGAGAAGGGACTCGGGAATCCCAGGAACTGCAGCCTGAAGAGTTCACGGGGCAAACAGGGCAGTTTCAGCTCCTGACAGTCCTCCTCTGTCCCCTTCCTCCCCAGCTGCTTGCAGCGGGTGCAGGCAGGAGGCCGTGCGCTATGTGGTGGTGGGTGCTGTTGATGGAGCAAGGGGGATCCCTGGGGCCATTCAGCTGGGGACGGGGGCAGTGGTGCTAGGAGCTGCAGGACTCAGGCCTGCTGATTTCCTCAGCTCCAGGATGCTGCCTGGGGCAGAAAGCAGCCCTGGGTGTGGAGCTGTGTGAGGCCGAGCAGGGAGCGTGCGTGCCCCATGCAGGGACCCACCATCTGGCCCCACCGCCCCAGTTCCCTTGGGTCTGGTTGCTCAGCAGGGGCAGCGGGCGTCCATTCAGGGATGCGGCCCCTGCAGTTCTGCTGAGGGAGGATTTACACCTTGGGTCCCTTTGGCCCCTTCTCTCTGCAAGTGAGGGGCTGACAGATGTTAAGACCTGCCGCCAATTCCCAACTGTGCAGTGCTTGGGGTCTGGGCAGCCCTAATGGATGCCCAGTTCTTGCAAAGAGGTTTCATAGAAATCCTCGCACCCGATAGGAAAGTGACACCTCCTGCCAAGCCCAGCCTGGCACAGACTCGCTCTGGCTGGGATCTGATGCTGCCCCTATAGTCACACAGGGTCGGGGAGTTTGTGCCCAGCCACAGTGTGATCCCAGCACTGCTGGGGGACCCGGACTCAGCCCCCGTGGAAGGGAAACAGGGGAAGTCTCGAGCACAAAGGATCCAGGCCTGGAAACCCCCAGCTGGTCCCTGCCGAGCTGCTGCCTCTTGTTCCCTTCACCGCTGCTCCGTGGCGTTCGCTGCTTCTTGGTGCCCGGGGATGATCTGCGCGACCAGCTCCACAGTGCGACTGCAAGGATGAACTCTGCCCCCGCTCTAGGGATCCAGAGCAGGAGATCCCAACCTCGGGCACCAGGAGGTGGGAGGTTTCTTGCCACGAGACACAGGCAGTGCAGCCAGGGTGACTGCAGTCTGCGGGGAGACATTGCAGCCTCTGGTGTGTGCAGGGCCCAGGCCCGGGGGGACCCAGGTTGTGGGGCAGGATGGTGGGAGCCTGCATGGGGCACGCACGCTCCCTGCTCGGCCTCACGGGCAGCCAGTGTGGGGCTGACTTCCTGGCCCAAGGCTGCCTGTCCCTGTTGCCTGATAAACGCCATGTCCCACCCCCTGTACTGTTTCCCTCTCCATAATTTTTGGTTCTTGCCATGAAATGCAGCATCTCACATGTGTGATCTCCAATGTTGGTTGGCCAGCCTACCCTCTCACCTTGTTCCCCAGACACTCACACAGTCAGCAGCTGCTTGGCTTCACATGTCCCTCCCTTATGCACACGCGCGGGCCCACAATTTTTATTTTCAGTTTGAACATGTGAACGCATCGATCACGTGGGAGCATTTCTGCTGCTATGACTCACAGCTGCATATTCTGTCTGCAACACAAGAGGAGAGATCTCACATCAGTTGTGGGTATCTGCTGGCTCTTGTTCCCTTCACCACTGCTCCGTGGTGCTCACTGCTTCTTGCTGCCCAGGGACGTTCTGCACCAGACCAGCTCCACAGTGCGACTGCAAGGATGAACTCTGTCCTCGCTCTAGGGATCCAGAGCAGGAGATCCCGACCTCGGGCACCAGGAGGTGGGAGGTTTCCTGCTGCAAGACGCAGGCAGCGCGGGCGGGGTGACTACAATCTGCAGGGAGACGTTGCAGCCTCTGGTGTGTGCAGGGCCCAGGCCTGGGAGACCCGGGGTGGTGGGGCAGGATGGTGGGAGCTTGCATGGGGCACACACATCCCCTGCTTGGCCTCACTGGTGGCCGGTGTAAGGTTGACTTTCTGGCCCAAAGCTGCCTGTACCTGTTGCCTAATAAACACCATGTCCTGCCCCCTATACTGTTTCCATCCTGATGATTTTTGGTTCTTGCCACTGAAACTCAAGGGCCAAGACTTCGTAGTTCTTCCTAGTTAAACGCAAGGTCTGAAATGTGTGATTTTCTATGTCTGATGGCCAGCCTGCCCTCTCACCCTCCTTCCCACGCACTCAGACACGGGGCAGCTCCTTGGCTTCACATGTCTCTCTGTCATGCACTCACGTGTCCCCAAACTTTTTATTTGAAGTGTGAACATGTGAACACATGAGTCATGCAGGAGCATTTCTGCCGCCGTGGCTCACAGCTGCATATTCTGTCTGCAACACAAGAGGAGAGATCTCGCATCAGTTGTGGGTAGCACAGCCCGGAGACCACGGCTGAGGTCTGCGCCTCACAGTGCTTGGTGCTGAATGAGCACCGGATAAGGGATTGCACTGATACCTTAGAAATGGAGGCCAACAGAGGGGCCTAGACTTGGCCATGATCCCTCACCTGCTTAGACCCAGAGCCAGAGAGAGGGCTCAGGTGTCCTGTCCTGACTGCTAAGGCTGATGCATCCCGTTAGATCACACGGCCCCAACCATTCACCTGCTTCCTGGGACTTTTTTCAGACTCAGTTATGCCCTGGCTGGCATTTTCTTTTGCAATACCCGTTTTTCTTTTGCAGTGCCGTTTCTCCCCATGGACATGCAGCTGCCTCTGGGGTGGGACACAGCAGTTCTGTGCCATGAACCCAGCACAGCGCTGAAGGCAGCGGGGAAGAGGGGAATCAGTGATTACTGTAGCAACTCCACTGAGTTGCTGGAGAGCTGACCTGGAGGGACCAGGCCAGGATGAGCCCAGACCCCAGTTCTGAGCATCTTTGTGACACAGCTGGAGAAGCAGTTACCTCTGGGCTCCGCCTTGGGCGCACGTTGCTCCCCGGTGCTGCTGCTCTCCCTGCTGAGGAAAGCAAAACAGGGGCTATTAACGGGGCAGGGATGGGGTTGGGGGCTTGACCCTAGAGCATGCTGTGGTCCTTACCTGTGCGGGGGCACTTGGTGGAGAGCAGGATGAGGCCCTGGACCAGCAGGAGGAGGCAGACGCAGGGCAGCCCCACCCAGCGTGCGATCCAGCAGGGCCCTGCGGGGAGAGGAGACGCTGAGAGCAGGGCACAGAGCCTGTGGCTGGGAGTGGGCAAGGGGGCGTTCCCAGAGGCTGTGGTGAGGGGCAGGGGCGATGCCCAGGGCCAGACCTCACCTACCCTTTAATGTGGTGCCCAGGTCTTTGGCCACGACAGTGATGATGTTTCTCCCGGTTCCTTCCTCTCTGGCGGTGCAGGTGCAGTGTGTCTCTGTGTCCCACCGCTCCCTGGGGACCATTGTCAGGCTCCCCGTGCCTTCCCTCTCCAGGGCTGCTGAGTCCATCTGCCTGGGAGATCCCTCCCCGAGGTCCCAAACTGCTGCTCTCCAGGCCCGAGTCTGCGGGGAGAGCAGGCAGAGCAGGGGGACGGGGTCTGGGAGCTCAGCATCCTCCAGGGGGGAAGGGGCCAGGATGACAAGGCTGGGCAGGCTGGGCTGGGGGGCATCTGCAGAAAAGCAGGAACATCAGGACCAGAGGCTGTGGAGGCACAGGCTGTTCCCCAGAGGTCAGCTCATGCCCACCCATCCCCGGCAGGATTGCTGAGATACCCGGGGCTTTGTCTACCCCAGTTTCAACACCAAACCCCTGACGGGACATGAACCCAGGTATTTTTACCAGGGGTTTCTTGTCTCAGTGCCAGCAGCCCCTGCCTAGGGCTCAGGCCACAGAGGGAGACCTGGTCTGGTGGGAACAACGTGAGCTGGGGACACCCCTCCCTGGCACAACCACTGCATGGCTGAGTGGCCCTGGGGAGCTAGTACCAATCTGCTCCTTGCCTCAGTTTCCCCAACTGCTGGGAGAGCTGGGAAGGAGCAGCGCAGCACAGGAGCCATCAGTGGACATCTCCCAGGTGGATTCATTCCTATCTACCTGAAGGGTGGCCCCGGGGCCCAGCCCGCACGGTATCTACCTTCCTCCCTCCCTTTCCATGGAGCCTGGGGGGAAATGTGCAGCCAGAGAGACAGGGGTGCTCCTTCCCTACCACACACATGGCAGAGGGTGACACTGCCTTGCGCAAGCCTGAACCATGACATGAGCCTTCACACCAGGCCCCTTGAGCCTCACAAGCTGCAGGGGGACTCTGTGGGACAGGAGCTTGTGGGGAGATTTCTCCCTGGTGCCCAGCACCCAGCTCCCTGCGCTGGGGTCTCAGCTGCTGGGGCTGCAGTTTGGAAATCCCGGCCGTGTCTTTGGGCTCCCGCGTGGGAGCTGCTGGGAGCTGAGATGGTTGAAATCCTGGGTCTGTTGAGTGAGACCCAGAGCCCAGGTCTCCTGCTCCCACCCCCTGCCCGGCTCCTGCTGGCCCTGAGCTCACTCCCAGTGTGGAGCAGATGCTGGGGGGGCAGAGTTGTGCAAAAGGGGAATTTTTTTTACCTGCTTTCTCTGGACTGACAATTTGTGACCTGTTGAAAACTCACCAGAGACGATCAGCCTGGTCCCGTTGGCGAAGCCTGTGTGTATATAGGCAGCAAGGGCGCAGTAATAGACCCCAGAATCCTCCTCCCGTACATCGCTGATGACTAGAGAGAAAGATTTCTCTGTGCTGCTCACTTTACTCGAGTATCTTCCCTGTGCAGGTACGTGTTTACCAGTCCTGGCAACCCACTGCAGACTGCCGTCCTGATGCTCCCTATACCAGGGTACGAGCCGTTGTTGGCGTGAAACTGTGCAGTTTATCTCCACAGTCTGTCCTGGGGTCATCCAGATCTCTGCTGGGCTTTGCTGCAGCAACAGCCCCTCTTGGGAAGCCGCCACTGCAGAGGAAAGCACGGTGTATGCATGGCGGGACCAGTGCAGTCGGCTCCCCCGCTGCAACATCCTCATTTATTTCTAGCTTTTACTAAAGTGACACAGTTGAATGAAGCAGAAAATGACCTGTGATAGAGCTATGAGGTGACCAGATTTGAGGTTAGTGGGGAAAGCACACAAGAAAATGACCCACTCAACTGATGTGAATAGAAGTAACATGGAACATAATATTGGATGAGACATAAAAAGCAATTGAAATGCAGCAATATCAAGCAGTAAATGAAGAAGGGGGAGTTTTATTTAACTGCAACCCTTATTCTCCATGCACAGAGCACCAATGATCCCTGGCTGTGAGTTACCAGAGAGGAATCAAATTGGTTTTTTCTTCCTTATCCCAGGACTTCACATTTTCCCCCTATGCAACGATCTGTTTCTCTCTCATGTCTGCCACGAACAAACACGACCACGAATCTCTCCCACTTGCATCACACAGCCCCTCGCCTGCCCCAGAAGCAGCTCTCCCACAAGCCCTAAAAGCCTTTGGACCTCCTTTCAGTCCTTTATTTCCATACGATTGCTGTGTCCCGGGGGAAACAACAAACTGAAACCCCAAGAGGCTGGGCTGAAAATGTTGGGCTGAAATGCTGTTCCAGCATCCAGAGCAACATCCTTACACCCAGCTTGGACCACACACAGATGAGGATCATCTGCTGTGCACGCACACAAAAGAAGAATCCGCTTACAGTTCCACCCTAGCACTCCTGCAGAGATACAGGGTGTTCCCCCTCTGCCGTTCCTGAAATCACCACTAAAAGAATTAAAGTACTTCTTGTTCCCAACATTTTCCTCAAGGCTTTTCCTATCCTTTTCTTCTTGAGATTCCAGCTGCAAACAACCTTCTCCAAAAATAGGTGACATCCCACCTATAAGGTTGGTATAAGGTAAGAGAGGACAAAGTAGAGGCTAAAGAAAAATCTGGTTTGGCACTCACAGTCTACACTGTTCCCCAAGAGGTGTTTTAACACATACATTATTTTATTACATCTCTCAGAGACTGACCCTGTAACTCTCCCATCTCTGTCTCTCCCGTGCAGCCCAGCCGGGTGTTTCCATCCTGCCAGGACATCCCTGTGCACACGGGAATTGTTCTTATGTGGGGAGAAAAGACCGAGGAGCTGAAAGACTTACCCTGCAGGGCGAGGAGCAGGATCCCCGCCCAGGGGCAGCACATGGTGTGGTCTCTTCAGCACTGGGAGGATGCTGTGAGGCTGCTCGATGGGTCTCTTTTTCTGAAAGCCTGGGTCACGTGGGAATGAGACCTGTTTCCTGTCTCAATTTGGAGGGGACACGTCTACAAGAGGAGGGTGCTGCTGGGTGGGACACTGACCTCCGACACGCTGAGAGATGTGATCCTTACCACCCACCGGTCATGAATATCTGGCCAGACTGGGGTTTATTGCAAGAAGTCTTTCAGCTCCCCCCTGTAGCAAACCAGCCGCCAACTGAATCCCAACCCACTGTCTCTGAGCTCGCTGAGATGCTTCCAGTACAAGGCAGACAAAGCCAGGACCTCTCCAGCCTGCTGTCAGTGATGCTTATACAGCCCTATGGATATACCTGGTGAGGATATAACCCACACACACCCAGACCAGACTGGGGTTTATTGCAAGAAGTCTTTCAGCTCCCCCTATAGCAAAGCAGCTGCCTGCTGAATCCCATCCCAGTGTCCTCTCACCTTGCTGAGATGCTTCCTGCATAGGTGAGCAAGGGTAGGGCCTCTCCACCCTGCTATCACTGAATCTTATACAGCTCTGGGGATATACATGGTGAGGATATAACCTGCACACACCTCTCTGAAGCCCCCACTGAGGAGACCGGTCCCTGTAAGTGCCCGTACACCATGTGTCTGGGTATGTGAGCAGGGCTGCATGGGACCAGGCTGCCAACCTGGGCTGTCCTTGTTCTTCCTTCCCCTCTTCCTTGTCCATCTCATACCATTTGCTGACGCTACATTTCTGTCCTTAACATAAAAAATAATGAGTGTGAGACTGAATGATGAAAAAGGACGTCTGGCTCTATGGAACAGTCTAAACTGGCCCTTGCTTTACTGCCAGTCCATTGAATGTGCAAGGGGAGGATGCTCTGGCTAATCTTCCACGGAGCAGGTGGATCTATCAGACTGGACTTCAGCAACTTGAATTGCACAGGTTACAGGTGTGTTCAGCATCTCAACATGCAAGGACCTGCTGTGAAAGCCCCTGGGCTGGAGCATCCCTCGGGCTGTGCCTGGGACACAAAGGGCTGTGGTGGTTTCCCTCCATCTGAGCTCCTGCTGGAGACACACACTCATGTCCATGGGGCACCTCCCAGCTCCTTCCCTTCCAGCGGGAACCGTCCCCGGGGGGCCGTGCACACACTGCTGAGCTGATGCAGGGGGTTCCTTTCAAGGCCACGTCCACGGAGCAGTGACAGGCCGAGTGGCCTTTACATGATCTCTGGCACTTCACCCCGCTCAGGATAAAACCTTTATTTCTAGGTGCTGAGAGCCCTTTGCCAAGCAATGGAGATGTGGTTCATAAATGCACCAGTCACTTCTGTCCATGAGACAGAGGCTTGGGAATCTCTTGGAAGATTTTTCCTTTGCTTTCTCTGTTTTGCTTTCCCCTCCGTTCATCTGATTTTTTGTGGCCTCATCACTGAGATGGTGAGTTCAGGGTCAGACTTTGTTTTGGGGGCTGTTTGGGGAGTTTTAGGGTAGAGATGGAGGTGAGGGGGGTGAGTGTCTCCATCCCAAGAGCTGTGTGATTAATAGCTCTGCATGGCTTTCTCTTCCCAAGCTGGGGCCTCATGCATAGCTTTCAGCATGTACTTACAAGAACGGAGCTCTTTGCACTTCTCTAAAGCTGATCTCAGCCTAAATGGAGGAGGATGTAGGGGAAATGACCACCAAACATATAACGCTAAGTATAAAGTGACCTCACATATCTGCACCGACGTGGAAAACTTCAGAGCTGCTTTCCTGTGTGTTTGCACCACAGCCTCCGTGGTCAGGCTCCGCTCTGTGCACGTGTTGCCTCTGTGTGATTGCAGACAGCAGCACCGCTCTCCCCACCCCAACCAGCCACCGGGGCCTGTTTGAGCGGCTCACCCAAGAATCAGCCCCGTGACACAACCCCCCGGGCTGACAGGGACTGTGACACACGTGTCCGTGTGAGCTCAAGCTGCCTGAGTTCCTGTTCCTGGTTGTTTCTGTCTCTGCTGCAGCCAGTCTTGGCCCAGCCATGTGCAGTGGGAGCATCTGTGCATGTGCCACTGTTCAGGGGCCTTGTCTTTTCTCTCATCCCCCAGGAGAGGCTGCAGGCTGGGCACTGACCATGAAGAGCCTCCCCCTTGGGGTACTGTCTATTGCCTTGGGAGAGGAGCCCAGAGATACCCCTCGGGTCCTTCATTTGGCCCCTTGCTCCCTGTTGGGCTGCAGACAGACGCTGCCCTTGTGCCTCTGTATACATATTTATGGCAACACAACCTGGAGCAAAGGGCCATTCCTGCCCCTCATCACGCCACCAATGCCCAAGCTCATGGCCATGATGGTTTGTTGTAATGGTTTGGGTTTGTGTTAGAGGGAGATGTCTGGTTGCCAACGGCTTGAGAGCACGAGGGCCCCGGTGCTGCCAGCGCTCTCCAGCCACCCCAGGCAGGAGGTTGCAGTCATTGAAGGGCCCAATCCTGCAGGGGATCCCCAGGGGCAGCGTCTGTGAGTGGGGGACACCACAGCTGTCCCTAGTGTGGCTGCAGCAATGACCTCTGCTTGCCTGTGCTCAGCCAGAAATGCAACGCTCAGAGCCCTGGAGGGGGAGGTCGCCCCTCAGGACAGAACAGCTTTGGGCACTTTGGGGAGATGTCTAGCACCCAGGCTAGGCAGGGCCCAACATAAGGAACTAGCGTCGTGGTGTGGCTTCACACGGGGTGGGGCAGGGTTATAGGAGCCCACACGTGGGACCCTGCACTGCTGCATGGGGCTCCCTGCTCACTACCCCCAAAGCCGGGCTGGGACCGGGGCCGTGAGCACCGTGAACCTGCCCCTGGACCAATGCTCCAGGCAGCGGCTTTGTGGAGCAGCAGCACCAGGACGACAGAGTCTGCTCCAGCCCGGATACCCGAGCAGCTGGCACCGAGGGGCCCCGCTCCCTCCCTGTGGCCAGAGCAGAGAAGATCCCTCCCCTCTCCTCTGCCCAGACGTGCTGAGCTCAGCATCACAGCCTGGGCCCAGGGCAGGACGTGAGCATGGGGCTGGCCCAGCTCCCGAACGTAGGGGCAATGATGTCTGTGATGCCCTGGTCCCTGAGTGGGCATCACATGGGGTTGTGCATCCCCTGAGCTAGGCCTGAGCCTTGGGGGCTCCTGGGGACACAGCGGGCTGTACTGGTGGCCCAGGTTTTCCTCTAATTGGACACCCATCACATCACAGGAACAGCAGAGAGGAGATGACATGAGTTCAGGTTGTAGCCTGCCCGCTTTTATTATAAACCGAAAACCAGGTGGCTAGAGCGTGGCAGTCACAGGGTGGCCATCCTGGGACCACAGTTCACAGCCACATCTTTGTTTGGAACAGGACAAAGGGAGGGACGTGTGTTGCTATGAGCTCTTTCCAACAGACATCCTATCTGAGATCAGGACCCCATGTGCGTGGGGCTGTACAGACCCACGGCTCTGATCATTAAGAGTGCCGGGCTAAAGAAGAAAGGAGTGGGGAGGGGAAACTGAGGCTCAGAGAGGGGCCAGTGTCTGTACAGGGACAGGTATCCAGGTTGTGGCCGTATTGGTTTAGAGGAAAAAGCAATCAGGGCTCATGGGAGAGGTGATATCTTTTATTAGACCAACAAGATTTTTGAAAAAAAAATGTTTTCAGTTGCAAGGTTTTGGGCACAAACACCCTTAATCAAGCATTAGAGAAAAGATTGTAAACATTTTTTGCAAAAAAAACCCATTTTTTTCTTGCAAAAATTTTTTGGAAAAAAACTTGTTGGTCTAATAAGAGATATCACCTCTACCATGAGCCCTGATTGCTTTTTCCTCTAGGCCAGTACGGCTAGAGCCTGGATATCTGACACATGGAAGATATTGAATTGTAAAAAACTGATTTTTTAAATGAAATCTTCGTAAGTTCCCAAGCAGGAAGCACCTGTGACCACCTCCAACCTGAGATATTGCTGCTGCCTCGGTTCAAAGTAATTTCCATCATAACAGAGCCTCACAAGAGAGCTGAGAGACTCCTTACCAGCTAAGAAGAACTGCCTGCCCAGAGGAGTTTTCCATCTATTGACTCCTCTATGAAATCCTATGATTTCATTCCTAGCCAGGAAAACTTTTGCAATCTTTTCTCCAATGCCTGATGAAGAGTGTTTGTGCCTGAAAGCGTGCAATTAAAGAAATTTTTTTGCAAAAATCTTGCTGGTCTAATAAAAGATATCGCCTCTACCATGAGCCCTAATTGTCCAGAGACAGAGCTCTGGTGTGCTGCCCTCACCCCAGACCCTGTTAGGTGCCAGGATACCCATCTCTTCATCAGCCCTCCCGTGACTTAAGATCTCGCATGTGAAATCAGTGCTTTCCATCCCAGTGACAGAGCCAAGCAAGACACTTTGCAGCTTTGGATCCTGTTAGCCTCCCTGTGTCAGGGTCTCTGCCCAGCACAGCCCTGAGCTGTGAGGCTGTTGGTGTCTTGGAGATGAAGCCTCTTCCTTCATGTAGGGCACCTGGGTCTCAGCCCCTCCTGGCTGGGTCGTGCCGGACCTAAAGAGCAGTTGTGCTGGGGCACAGCACGGGACTTCAGCTATTCTGCTCTGGAGCAATGCAGACATCACATGAATACACCCAGGGCAGCATGGTGGGTTTCTCCTTGGAGCTTGCAATGCTCCAGCAGAGGCAGGCCCAGAACTGATGGACCTGCATGGATGTGCAGCCACCTTGGGGGCAGAGCATGGCAGCAGTTCTACACTGTTGGCCCAACACAGCACTGAGAGCAGAGTGGGACAAGGGAATGAATGCCTCTTCCCCTGCACACCCAGCCTCGCTTGGGTCATGAGCTCCAGGTACCCAGGTGGGGACTGGGCCCAGATGCTGGTGCTCAACCCTGGGGTCCTCCCTGCCCCTTGTTGCCAGGGCCCTGTTAGGTCCTAGTGCAACATGGTTCAAATGAGCAGTGCTGGTATTCAGTGAGCATAAACGTAGTGTAGCCGTCATTTGTGCTGTCAGCTGGGTGATCAGACCAGCCACCAGCAGGAACAGCGCAGGGTTAATCACAGATCCAAAGAGCGTTTCAGTTCTTCCCCCTATAGCCATTAGAAGAGCTTACCCCTGTGGGAGTTTCATGGATGCCAGGTGAAGCTATAGCTAAAGAAAGTCATTGCAAAGGACCATGGGAGTATCCCACATCATTGCAGGCTGGATGAGCTGCTAAAAGATGCAGGGAGCATGAACACTGCTTCAGAGGAAGAAACAGGAGCTGAGCAAACTGAGGAGGAAAACGATAGAAATTGCTAGTATGGCAGAGATAACCAGAGACAGCTGCACTGAGCAGGGAGGTGGGAGATACCCGGTGTGGCGGGCCAGTAGGGGGCGCTCCTGCGTGAAGCCGCCCACCTCCCTGCGCCCGACCACCTTCCAGGCTCCGAGTGCCTCCCTGGG